AAATCAGTTCCTTTTCATGTAGCTCTTGAAAAGTTCTTTTCATAAAGTTCAAATGAGCTAACATATCTCCACCTTTCAGAAGACATGCTCTAAACAGTTTACGTGTAAGATGTATGTGTGCACCTACACTGTCATGAACATAAATCCTCTTCAAATTCTCCCAACACCTAGCAGCAGACTCTTCTCCACGAATATGGACTAGCTGCTGGTCACTCAGTGTTAGTCCAATTGTACAAAGGCTCGTTCGTTGTTCTGTTTAAAGTCAGCTAGCTTTTTGACATTGTCCTCATTATTTGGATCCCAAGCATTTACATCTGGTGGATCCTGAACTGCAGCCCATAACCCTTCCATACGCAGAAGTAGACTGCACTTCATAGACCAGGAAACATAGTTTGTTCCATCCAACCAGGTTATCAGTGATAGACTTGTTGACGGGTCTTGTGCCATCTTTACCAGGACAGTAACCCACAATTAAACAGTAAACAGCTGTCTGTATACGGTACTGTGTATTCAAGCTAACTCTCAGTTATCTGAGCCTGGTATGTTCTGGGCCCATAACCAGTGTTGAGGTATTCCCCATTAGGAGAATGAGTGCGCTCAGGGAAACATAGTGAGAGTGGTGTTGAATAACACACAACCAGCACACAGATACACTGAATAGTAAAATGGAGGTTTTACTTCCAGTAAATGGGTAAACAAAGTCCAACAAACAGTCCAAATCATACACGGTTAAAGCAGGTAGTATTCAATGCAATCAGTCCAGGGATAATCCAAAAATGAAGTCCAGTATCATAAACAAAGTTCAGTAAATGGAGTTTGCTAACAGTTTGCAAGACTCGTAGCAATCCAAGCAGAATGATGATCAGGCAAAAGGCAATAGGGAAATGCAAGAAGAGAGCAAACCAGTTTTCTGGCTCCATCTTATGGCCGTCAGAGGAACCTCAGCCAATCACAATTACAGCATTCTCTTAAAGATACAACAGTATTAAATGACTATCGTGGTTTATATATTGCCAACCCAACAGTTAGGTAACTATCATTCCTAACAATAATATGAAGCCACGTGGACGATTTTCTGCGGTTGGTGTGCCAGCCACCATTTGGACCCCACTACTGTATCTGTCGCTAATGTGTTAGGCTTCCTGCAGGATGGTTTGGATAGAGGTCTGTCCCCCAATACCTTAAAGAGACAGGTGGCTGCTTTGGCCTCAGTGTTTTCATTCAAGGATTCAACCACTCTTGCCCAACACCCCAGGGTGAGAGCCTTCCTTTGGGGAGCCACAAATTTGAAGCCACTAGTGGTCCACCGTTACCCCACCTCGGATTTGCTGAAGGTCCTGCAGGCGCTGACCTCCATTTGAACCCTTGCGTGAAGCCAGCCTTCATCTGCTCACGTGCAAGGTGTCATTCCTAGTGGCCATCACATCGGCCAGGCATATCTCAGAGTTGGTGGCCTTGTGAAAGGACCTTTGTGTGTTCCATGCGGACAGGGTTGTTCTACGGTTGGACCTTACCTTTTTGCCCAAGGTGAACTCCTTATTCCATTGTTCACAGGAATTGATTTTGCCTGACCTTTGTCCAGAACCTAGTCATGCGCTGGAAAGAAAATGGCACACCTTGGACATTAGGAGGGCCCTCCGTATTTACATCAAACAAACCTCTTCCTTCAGAAAGACTGAATCCCTGTTCGTCTCCTTTCAGCTGTCAACTTTGGGCCGCAGGGTGACACCTTCCACCATGGGTTGTTGAGGTAATTCCCCGTTAGGAGAATGAGTGCATACAGGGAGATGTATTTGAGAGAAGTGTTTGAATAGTACACACACAGTATACAGATACACTGTACAGTAAATGTAGGTTTTTACTTCCAGAAAGTTTAAGCAAAGTTCATGATAAGCAGTCCAAAGTCATTCACAGGTAAATCAGTCAGTTTTTCAATCCAGGGATAATCCAAATATCAAAATCCAGTGTCAAAAAACAGTTCAGTATCAGACTTACATAAATCCAGGAATATCAGTCAATTAGGAAAAATGGAGCAACGGCAATACTTTCCAACAGAAGCAAACAGAGATACACTCTCACTCTCTTCTGAGACTCAGACTAAAGAACCCTGGCTCCATCTTATGGCCGTTTGAGAAACCACACCTAATTACAGTTTTGCATTTTCTTAAAGATACAGTTTTAAAATGTTTATCCTGGTTTATATATTTCTAACCCAAATAGCTGTTTAGGTGACTCATATTCCTAACATGGGTCACTGGCTCAGAGCCTGTATTGCTAAAGCCCGTGAGTTACAGGCTCTCCCTGTGCCCAGGAGAATCACTGCGCACTCAACCAGGAGTGCGGTGACTACTGCAGCCTGGGAAGTACAGGCATTGGTTCTAGACCTTTGTCAAGCTGCAACATGGTCGTCTGTGACTCCATTCAAAAGACATTATAGGATTGACTCCTTTGCCTCGGCGGAGGCGTCCTTTGGAAGACTAGTCCTACAGGGAGTTCATGTAGATGTGGGGACCTCCAAACAGTCCAGTTTCCACCCGTAGGACAGCCAACAGCCAGCTTTGGTATGTCCCATCCTGGATTCTCCCTTCCGCTCAGTGGAGAAGGGGCGTTGGTCCTACCTGACACGCCTCTTCTCAGGGAGTCGAAGGGAGAATCCAGTCCCACCCTGTCTGGTCAGAGTAAGGAGGAATTTTTTTTTTTTGTATCATCGAGTAGACTATCTTTCAGAAGACTATGAACAGCTGAATTTGCTTCGATGTCATTCAGAACTGGGGACCATTACCAAGGGGGGTATCCTCAGTTTTTCAACTTGGTCTGCAGAGCTATGAGACTAGAGAGTACCCATCCTGGATTCTCCCTTCGACTCCCTGAGAAGAGGCACGTCAGGTAGGACCAACGCCCCATTTCAGGATTTTAAAAGATAAAGCACACAGGCTTCACTGACCAGCAGTGAGCCATGTCTGGAATGCCTGTTGTCTCAGGCAGTTAATACACAAATCACTCTTGTGGGCAGCATAGCAAGAAAATGAGGATAAGCTAGGAAGACAAAAGATTGCTTTCCCCCTTTCCCCATACAAAACTTGCTTTTAAGAGACTAGAACAACATTCAAAGTAGAAAACAGGAGGAAAATTGCCATAACATTTTCCTGGAAAAATTAAATTTGGGGCTTATCTCCTGTTGTAACGTATGCTAGGGAAATCATGTTGCAAACAACTGCCTAGGTGGGGCCAGCAGTTTTTCTTTGGCAAGAGATACAGACATGGTTTCCAAATTCTTCCCACCTAGGGCTGAGGGGAAAAAATAACTTGCACAAAATCAGCCAGCTGGCCCTCATGGCCAAAGCAGGCTTTGAATTCACACTTCTCCAGCTTTGTAGCATGTGACTATAAACATGAGACCAAATTGGTTCTCTATAAAGGTTTTCCTCCCACTCCTTGACTCCATGGAAAAAGAAAACAAAATTGAGCACACAGAGTATACAGCAATTATTAATCATCTCTTTTGCAGTAGCAAGGAATTCCAAAAACACATGTTGTAAATAAAATTTCATAGGATTGTTCCTTTGACAAGAATGCCCTCTCTAAAGCCATCACCCACAAACATAATGCAGATGTTTCTTAAGAAAGGAAGAACAGAAAATAATTCCTTCAGAAAAGATCTCAAATACTACCAGTGAGTTAGAAAAAAAAAATTACACAGAAAATTTTCAAAAAACAAAATTTTGCACTAATAACAGATTTCTTACATGCACTTTCATTCCTCCCTCTTTGTCTCACACATTCCAGTTAGAAAAGGTTGGGGGCAGTGAATAAGTTTGTTCCAGGAGAGTGGTAATGTCAAACAAAAGGTTTTTTTCCCTCTCCAATTTTTTTGGAGTTTTCTATAGATCAACTATCAACATAACTCATTAAGTCTTCTCACACAAAATAAAAGATCAAAGTTCTCACCTTTCATCCTGGCCAGGCATAAAACTCTCTCTTTCTCTGTGGAGGTTTTTGTCCCTTTAAATCCCCCCTTTAAAAAAAAACATATTCAAAGGTACCTTCAGATGCCCATGAATAATTCTTTGGGAGTTTTAATTTTGGCCAGATATGCTTACAAAATTTTAACAAACCTTGTCTTTTTTTTTTTCAATTCTATTCCAAAAATTATGGTATAGACATCCAAGAGGGGTAGAAGCATCTCCACCATCCATTTCTTGTGAGTCTCTCCTTCCCACATTCCCCATTTCAGATGGTTTTAAATCTACCTGCTAAATCACCTGGGGGCTGAAACAATGTGTATTCAGCTTTTTTCCCCTTTAATACTACTTACAACTAAGGTCCTTCTAAAGGGCCTTTACACTTCCTTTTATGCTTTTGCTAGCTTATCTCTAGCTCACAAAAGAAAGTAATTAACTAAGAAGCTGCTTTACATTGCATACAGGAAAAAGGTAATTGCGGGCTTCTTAGAAATAAAATCAAGACTCACCAATTTCTCTGTCCCGGGAATTGTTCCCTCTCAGATCCCTACCATTCAATGATCTCTTTCTTAAAAGCACCTTTGAGGCAATGTATCCAGTCAAAGACAAAAGAAAGGCCCTGAAAAAAATTCCAGGGGTGCACCTTCTTATTCCTTAGCTTTGACTGGAAATCATTGCTCTGAGGCAAAATTTCTGCTGGCTGGCTTGCCAGATAAACTTGAACATCACTATAAAAGAGAGAATATCAATCAGATTAAAATACAAAATAACTATGTTAGTTAAGAAATAACAAAACCCATGTCATTTGCCCCTCAGTATCGAACTGTGGAGAACCCAACTACTAAATAAGTAAATCTGGGCTACTTCTAAGGAATCCATGAGAACAAACTACATCAAAATCCATGTGGCAGTATGATTAGATCTCCATTTAGATAAAAGGCAACATGTTGCTATTATTCAAATAATGCATTAAGGTACCAATAGCCTATATCTGTTTACTTAGAAAATTCAGGCTATGAAAAAAATCATTTTCATTGTATGGGTTTCCCCTTTTCAGACCCCTTTGCTGATGCAACTAAGGGTGACGACTTACTCCCGGCAGGGACCGAAGACTACATCCATATAAGGATCCAGCAACGAAACGGTAGAAAGACATTAACAACTGTTCAAGGGATTGCTGATGATTATGACAAAAAGAAACTTGTGAAAGCATTCAAAAAGGTAAAGTTGGTGTTTCTTGGATTTTTAAATGTTTGAGCTAGGAACATCCAAACTGAATATAGATACATTCACAAGTATACAGTTATTTACATATATCTTTTAAAAGTGCAATGATAGTCTTGAAATTGTTATGCCAATATTTTTGTCTCAGCCAGCAAAAACAGACTACATGTTTTCAAAGAAACAACTGATTCCCAGTTGATTTAAAAAAAAAACTTGAGCAGTACTAGTGATAAAGCTGATTTCATGGCGTTTCCTAAAACTGCCATATTTAGGAAACAATTAAGGTCCTTTAAAATGGATCTAACACTTACAGGTAGAAATACTACAAAAGATAATCAGAATTTAATATCAATTGTTCCTGGAATATTCCTTAATATTGTTCTAATTTTCTTTGCTAATAACAGTTGTTTCAGGAAAATTTTGATTAAAAGCAAGCTAAATTCAATATTCAATCCTGCCTTTCTTTCAAGATAATGAGAAATCAAAGATATGAATGAAATACAACGGAGGGTAAAGAAATATAATATGAAGGCTTGCGTGGAAGATGTCCAAATTATATGAAAAGGAGAGGAGTAGATCAAACAGTACTCCGCATAGCTAACTAGTGATAATTAGATGTAGAACTATAAAATGGAAAACCCTGACAAGTTATTTGGGGGGTGGGGTAGCTTAGTTCAGAGCAATAATCTGAAATATATTGGCGCCTTGGTAAGATCCAGGGGTGGGATTCTACCTGTTCAGACTGGTTCTATAGAACTGGTTGTTACGATTCTGCGCAGTTTGGAGAACTGGCAAATCGCACCACTGGCTGGCCCCTCCCCACCTGCCCCTCCCCGCCCAGTCACTCCTTATCTCACATGTACGCCATCCAACTTGCCTGTGTTGTGCCTTCAACTAATTTTTGGTAAGTTGACATTTTTCCTTTTTTCCCCGACGATCAGCTGTTCTGACTATCAGCTTTGCTGTGCGATTTAGATTAGCTAGAAAGCAGGAAATCGTCGGAATTGGTATTCTGTAATTTCTAATATCCATCTTTATATCCTCATCCAATATTCTTTTAACTTGCCACCACATATGGAAAAAAGTTCCTTCATTTTGTTTACATTTCCAACATTCTGATTTTATATTTGGATATATTTTAGCCAGTCTTGCTGAGGCTAGGTGCCATCTATAAAACATTTTGTACTGATTTTCTTTAAATGCTGTTGACAATGTTAATTTACAGTTATTAATTCACATTTTTCCCAATCCTCTAATTTTATATTATGAACTACGTTTTTTGCCTAGGCAATCATTGGTCCCTTCACTATTCTAGTTCCACTTCCAACAAATAACTATACATTCTTGTTGTGAATTTTTCCTCCTTGCCTGTCAAAATTTGGTCTAGTTGTTGTAAATCTTTTTCTATTCTGTGCTCTTCTAAATCTTTTCTAAATTTTGTCTGAATTTGTAAGTATGATCACCAATCTATAATTATATCCTGTTCTTTTAATTCTTCAGTTGTTTTTCGTTTTCCCTGATTATCTAATAATTCTTCATATCTAATCATTTTTTGTGTCCCTTGTGTTTGGATATAATATTGCTTCCATAGGTGAAACCAAACTCGATACTTTCATATAATGTTTTTGTCAGCATTCCAGCAAAGCTCCATTCCAATCAGTAACTCTGAGACAAGCATAATCTCAAAAGTACCTTTATTAGAATAGCACCTGGCACATCTTTGAAATCTCGAAACTAAAGTTTCCTGGACTTCCCACAATGTCCCAAACTACAATCCATCCCCTTTTGTCCCATCATCATATCACATGGACCAATCATGATCTGTCTCAGTGTAAAATCCTTTTTCTCTGCTGCGCCACACTTAATAACCTTGAACTAAGGAAAGAATTTTGTTTTGTCTACTTAGAACTACTCAATTGAAATCACCCCTGTTAGGAATGATAGTCACCTAACAGTTGGGTTGGCAATATATAAACCAGGAAAGTCATTTAATACTGTTGTATCTTTAAGAGAATGTTGTAATTGTGATTGGCTGAGGTTCCTCCAATGGCCATAAGGTGGAGCCAGAAACCTGGTTTGTTCTTTTTTGCACTTCCTTTGCTTTGCTTTTGCTTTTGCCTGATCATCATTCTGCATGAATTGCTGTGAGTCTTGCAACTATTCCCAAACTCCGTTTACTGAACTTTGTTTATGATACTGGTAAAGAAAAGGACTTTGTTTTTGGATTATCCCTGGACTGATTATTTTGAATACTAACTGCTTTAACCGTGTATGATTTGGACTGTTTGTTGGACTTTGTTTACCTGTTTACTGGAAGTAAAACCTCCATTTTACTATTCAGTGTATCTGTGTGCTGGTTGTGTGTTATTCAACACCACTCTCACTATGTTTCCCTGAGTGCACTCATTCTCTTAACGGGGAATACCTGAACAACCCCCTCCCAACTTGAGTCTGCACAGTGAGTCTGTGTCCACACAGCATGAATAAACGGGATGACACCTCCCGCGTACCAGCCATTTGGAAACCCGCCCTCATGAACAGACAAGTACCTAACATGAAGAATGACACCAGACCCACACCCACGAGGGCCACACAAGATGCTACCACCACACTTCCACGTAAAAAGCAGACTCACACCCACACAGAAGATGAGACACGACCACGGACCAGAAGCCGCACCGCAGCTGCATCACTACCTGCTTCAAATCCCTCCGACCCATACATGAAGCGAACTGACGCCCACCATGAAGATGCAGCACGACCACGAATGCGAAGCCAAACAGCAGGATCTCAGCTCACCAGCTCAAATCCCCCAGCAACTAAGACTAACCTGAGCACAACCAAGCCCCCACCTGAACAGAACACACCCCCAGCCAATCAGAACACAGCCAACCCCCCACCCAATCAGAACACAGCCAAGCCCCCACCCAATCAAGTCACACCCCCACTAGTAGTTAAAAGGAAGAAGCAGCTGCAAGCTCACATTACTCTGAGAAGCACAAAGCTGAAGACACAAGCCTGAAGATGATGAATGAGACTTCATCGAAACGTCACCTAGATACTTCCAATTTTACGTGGGAGAAAACTCGAATAACCAAAGATCCACATACAAATACCCGCGAGAACCTCAGAAAATATATATAGATATATTAATATAATAATTATAGAAGTTTTTTTAAAAAAGAGGGAGCAATTAAAAATTAATAGGGTCCCCCTGCACTTTTTTGGAGCAGGCCCCTGGACGTGCCAACCGTCCCAGATATATTTATATATACTGTATATATTTATATAGTCTCACTGGCCTATCACTATCAAGGGTCGTAATGGCAAGTAAAAATACCAAAGCCCCATCTTCCAAATCTTCATGAACCCAGAACAAGTCAAAGCTTCCTAAGGGCCCTTCAAAGGCCGCAGAAAAGCACGCTAATAGATGCCAAAAGGCGTTAGAAAAGCATATGAAGAAATGCATGCGGGAGGCTGAAAGGAATTCCCACCCTTCTTCTCCATCTAGGCCGGCCCAGGTACAAGACCTGCTACCTCCCCTGGATCTGTCCATGCCATCCAGGTGTACTGCTCCCGGACCAGTCCAGGCTGGTTCCTCATCAATCGTGTCTGGCAGGCAGGTTCCTGAGGCCACCTTTACTCCAACGGCGGCAGGCCTACGTCAAGAGCAGTTCCTACCAGAGGAGGTACCTGAGAAAATGAGGGCCTGGATGGAGTTAGCGATTCATCAGGCCATCGCTGCAGGGGTACAACAGACCGTACTGGCCAGGCAGCCTCCACCTTCCAACTGCAACTCACAATCAGTACAGTTACTATGCAGAACGGATCTGCATTACCCTCAGGTACCTCCCCAAGGGGAGCTTTCTATAATACCACATATACATCTGCAGAATTTACAGGATGAGGGAGAGCAGGAGGACCAAATGGAGCTGGTTGAGGAAGGGTCAGTACACGACAGCGACCCGGTCCTGTAGGAGGTGGACCCCCTCAAACGAGGCATGTCTGTTGGGTATAACATTGATACACCAACTAAGTTTGGGTGAATAAATATATAAAACCAAGGTTTGGGTGTTTGTAACTTGTAGCTTTAAGCACCAAACTGCTTGTAATTAACTAATTAAGGGTGCGGTTACAAACGGCAATAAAAGGCAGTAAGAGAAACGTAACCTCTCTCTGCTTGTTTTGTCTGCTTGCTACTGTTTGTTTGCTACTGTTTGCTACAACTGTTTGAATACCTGAACGAAAGGACTATTTCATTGATGTGCTGATATCCTGTGAATACTCAGCGTTGTCTTCAAAAGGAAAGGTATCAGAGGAGAAGATATCTTTACAAGCAGATAAGGATATAGAACTGACTAGTGAATGCACTAAGTTACTGAATGGATATATTTGTGAATGACATATGGACTGATTGACAATATTTAAACTCTAATTGGATTAAACAACTATTTAAACTACAAAAACAGTGTTTGTCATCAGTGTGTGTAAACTCTAGGGCCCTTCCTCTGTCATTTGGCTGCCTGGCTTGACTGCTGCTGCACATTCTGTTTGGGGGTTTGTCCCCAATCACTAACAATGTCTGATGACAAAAGCCTTAAGCCAGATCAACCGACCTTTACGGGCCTGTTCCGTCCTCAACTATTCAAATCTCTACTATTCAAGGCCAAGACCACCGCGTGCCTTGATAATTCTCCCCCCGTCCAACATTCAGTAGCACAAGGGGAGTCAGAGGACTTGATTTTCTCCCATCCAATAACTGAAGAGGATGTTATCCCAGTCCTGCAGATGTTTTCGGACCTCGTCCAGAAAAAAATGGGCTTCTGCAGCAGCGTACCCCACCCCCACAGGATATGACAGAAAAATTTTCAATTTGGCATCAGAATTTTTCAACTCCCTTAATACCCCAGAAGTAGATGAACCTGTGGTAGCCTTAGCTTCCTCCTCTGCTATTTCCACCAAAGCAGAGGAGGCACATAAACCAGAAGAAAAAAGGG